GGCACTGGGCATGGCTGGCCATGTTGGCGTGGACGGGCACTCGCCTTTCACCCCCATGGCCCGAGCTCCTCTGCTCAGAGAGGAAGCGACTGTGGAGGCTGGCCAGGGGCCCGCGCGGGCCCGGGAGCCGGCCTGGTGCCTGATCTGCCCTTCCGAAAGGGGCATCGTGTGGAGGACAGTGCCAGGACAGGCCAGCCCGCGGGGGTGGGGAGCAAGTGACAGGAGCTCGGGCGTGCTTGGCCGTGGTCCTGCCCGGCTGTGGACGCCCCACACCACCGCAGGGCCACAGAGCAGGGAGGCGGCAGTTCCCAGGGTGCAATCAGTACCCTTTCTGGCACCCACAGACTTCCCCTTCCTCGGGCTGTTTGTTGCCAAAACAGTGCTGATTCCTGTGGATTTGCTGAAGTTTTACCCAGAAAGAAAGAAAGGAGGGGGGAGGTGGAGAGAAAAGGAAAAGAGAAAAGGGCGGGGGGGGGGGCAGGGAATGGAGGGCTGTTATTTGGAAATAGAGCTTCCCAGTCATGAGGGTGAGTCACGCCGTTCGGAACTTCAAGTTTCTTGTCGGAGTGAATGTCTCTGGGTTCCGAGTGAGGGGTCCGCGCGGCCCACCACCACGCGAGTCTGGGGGCTTGGCCAGGATGCAGCCTGCTTGCTCAGGATCCGGCCCGGCGTGCGGCTGAGGCATCGCAGGGAGACCCTAGCCCTGTGGCCCCCCTCCCCCACTGCACCACAACACGGTTGATCCTGTGGTTGATCCTGGCTGGGGCGGGGGTGTTCCTCATGGGGACAGTCCACCGTGAAGGACAAGGGCTGGCCACAGCAACGGGGGGGGGGGGGGACAGTGAATACCCCGAATACCTCACCCTTGCCGTGGGCCAAGGTGGCAGGTCCTTCCCTGCCTGCTCTCCTCCCGCCGTGCCCGGCCCTGCCTTGCCCCGTGGCTGCGTCAGTCTGTCTGTCTGCAGTGGGACCCAGCAAAGTGTATCAGGTGACTCTTTCCCTCGTGGACCAGCTACTTTTTTTCTTTTTGGTCATACCCAGTGGTGAAACCCAGGTGCTTACTCCTGGCTCTGCACTCCGGGCTCTGTGCTCAGGGCACTATGTTGGGTGCCAGGAACCAAACCCAGGTTGGCCACCTGCAAAGCAAGTTCCCTACCCACTGTGTTATCTCTCTGGCCCCACACCACCATTTTGGACTCATTGGTTCTCCTCTGTGAAATGGGACAGCGGCTCAGTTGTGGAGAGGAGCGCTGGCTCCACCTGAGGGTTTGCTGGCTTGTGCCTGCTGCGGGTTCAGGTCTGCCCCGTGTTCACAGAGCGCTCCTCTGAGTGACTGCAGTGCTTGCAAAGTGGCAGAGACCTATGAAGTATGCAGAAGCATTCTGTCTTTTTTAAAAAGACGTACTTGAATTAAAAAATACCCGGTCCCTGCTGGGGGGAGGGGAGCACTTGCCTTGCATGTGACTAACCCGGGTTCAATCTCCATATCCCTGAGCCCCACCAGGAATGCTCCATGAGCACAGAGCCAGGAGTCAGCCCTCAGCACCATCAGGCAGGTCCAAAAACAAAAACAAAAAAATGATGTCTGGGGCTGGAGCGATTGCACAGCAGGTAGGGCATTTGCCTTGCACGCGGCTGACCCGGGTTCCATCCCCAGCATTCTCTGTGGTCCCCTGAGCACTGCCAAGAGTAATTCCTGAGTGCAGAGCCCAGAGTAACCCCTGAGCATCGCTAGATGTGACCCAAAAAGAAAAAAAAAAAGTCTAAATATTGGACACACATTAAAAATACCCTATTTCAAAGAAAAGTTGAGCATCATCTGAGCTGCCAGGAAAATGATCCCTGCATAGTCTTGTCTCATGAGCCAGCCTTCGAGGGCTAAGAGCACAGGAACTCTGCGGGGTGTCTGCGTGCTGCTGCACCCGCCCTGGCTGTGGGCGGTGTCCTGCGGACAGCTCCCTGCGTGTCCCCCCCCCCCCCCCCGGGCTCCTGACCGTGCTGGGCAGGAGAGCAGAGGGAGTCACAGGGGCCTTCAGCTTCCAACCCAGTGCCAGCCGCTCTCTGCCGGCCACGTGCGGTTCTGGGCTGCCCTGGAGCTGAGCCTTGTGTCTGCTCCACATTGCAGACCCCAGCAGCCAGGGGCCCGGGGGGTACAGGCCCAGCCCGGGTTGCCAGGAAAGGAGGCCCCTTGCTGGGAGGCTGTGTCATCGGGAAGAAGTAGGGACTTTCCCGGGCCGCATCCCCGGGACCCGGGTCTCAGCTCACCTCCCCAGCCCTGGAGGGTAGGCAGGCTGAGAAGGTCCGCTGTGAGCCTCTGTCCGCCCTCCATTGTAGGGGCCCGGGGCCACCGCCATGGCACAGTGAGGAAGGCACTTGCCTCGCCCCGGCCAACCTGGGCTCGATCCCCGGCACCCGGCATGGTGATCTGGCGTCCCGTGATTCCTAACAGAGCCAGGAGTAACCCCTGAGCACCGCTGGGTGTGGCCCAGGAAAAGGGGGACTCCCAGAGCAACTCCCTCTAAGGGGCTGCGCTCCCCACTTTGGAGCAAAGGAAGTTCGGGGCTTCTCGGGTGCTCCCCGGCTCAGCAGTGAGCATTCCTGGGGCTCAGAGGCCTGCAAGTGCTCAACACCAGGCCCAGGCTGACCACCGACCATACTTGGGACCAGCCTTGGTTGTACACCAGGACGGGGCCACCAATGTTCTCGGCCAGCCTGGGTGCGGGCCCCACCATCCCTGAATTCCAGCGTGTCTGGTGTCCCGCAGCCCGTGACTCCTATAAATAGAGGCCGTATCTGCCAGGGGGCCTCAGCCGCCCCTGCTTGACGGCGGGCGAGGCATCTGGTTCCTGTCAAATGCAGTGGGAGAGCTGGGCCATTTCCTCCCGGCCGCAGGGGACAGAGCTGGGACTCACACAGCTCTTCGGCCTGTCCGTGGTGGGGCTTCCACCCGATATGCTATCTCCCACTGCATCCTGGTGACCACGAAGCACCGTGCGCTGGCTGCTGCCTGCGTGCCAGGGTGAGGGGATGGGAGTTCACGCTTCATGGTGGCCCTTAGAATACCAGGGATGAACTGGGCCTGCCCCTGGACACACCAAAGGGGGACTCCAGGAGGAGCCAGTGGGCAGCCAGCACCTTTCCCCAAGTCTACGTCTGTGCACACGTGTGTCTGTGTAAATGTGTAAATGTCTGTGTGAGTCTGTGTGTCTGGGTGAGTCTGCGTGTCCATGACTCTGTGAGTCTGCATGTCTATGACTATGTGTGAATCTGTGTCTGTGACTGCATGTGAGTCTGCGTGTTCATGACTGTGTGCACATGAGTCTGCATGTCTGTGACTGCACGTTGAGTCTGCATATCCATGACTGTAGGTGTATGTTTGCATGTCAGTAACTGTATGTGTGAGTCTGTGTGTCCGTGACTATGTGAGTCTGCGTGTTCGTGACTGTGAATCTGCGTGTTTGTGACTGTGTGAGTCTGCTTGTCTGATTATGTGAGTCTGCATGTCTGACTGTGTGAGTCTGTGTGTCTGACTGTGCAAGTCTGCGTGTCTGGCTATGCGAGTCTGCATGTTTGTGAACTGTGTGAGTCTGCGTGTCTGATTGTGTGAGTCTGTGTGTCTGACTGCAAGTCTGCGTGTTCGTGACAGTGTGAGTCTGTGTGTCTGTGTGAGTCTGCGTGTCTGACTGTGAGTCTCCTGTCTGACTGTGTGAGTCTGCGTGTCCATGACCGTGTGAGTCTATATGTCCATGACTGTGAGTCTGCGTGTCTGACTGTGCGAGTCTGTGTGTCAGACTTTGCGAGTCTGCATGTTTGTGACTGTGTGAGTCTGCTTTTTTGTGACTGTGAGTCTACGTGTCCATGACTGTGTGAGTTTGCATGTCCATAACTGTGTGAGTCTATATGTCCGTGACTGTGAGTCTGCTTGTCTGACTGTGCGAGTCTGTGTGTCTGACTGTGCAAGTCTGCGTGTCCGTGACTGTGTGAATCTGCATGTCTGACTTTGTGAGTCTGCATGTTCGTGACTGTGTGAGTCTGCATGTCCGTGACTGTGTGAGTCTGCGTGTCTGACTGTGTGAGTCTGTCTGTCTGACTGTGTGAGTCTGTGTGTCTGTGACTGTGTAAATCTGCGTGTCTGACTGTGTGAGTCTGCATGTCCGTGACTGTGTGAGTCTGCGTGTCTGACTGTGTGAGTCTGTGTGTCTGTGCAAGTCTGCGTGTTTGTGAACTGTGTGAGTCTGTATGTCTGACTGTGTGAGTCTGTGTGTCTGTGTGAGTCTGCGTGTCTGACTGTGAGTCTGCGTGTCCGTGACTGTGTGAGTCTTCTTTTTTGTGACTGTGAGTCTACATGTCCATGACTGTGTGAGTCTGTATGTCCCTGACTGTGTGAGTCTGCTTGTCTGACTGTGCGAGTCTGTGTGTCTGACTGTGCAAGTCTGTGTGTTTGTGACTGTGTGAGTCTGCGTGTCCGTGACTGTGTGAGTCTGCATGTCTGACTTTGTGAGTCTGTGTGTTCGTGACTGTGTGAGTCTGCATGTCTGACTGTGAGTCTGTGTGTCTGACTGTGAGTCTGCATGTCCATGACTGTGGGAGTCTGCGTGTCCGACTGTGTGAGTCTGTCTGTCTGACTTTGTGAGTCTGTGTGTCCGTGACTGTGTAAATCTGCGTGTCTGACTGTGTGAGTCTGCATGTCCGTGACTGTGTGAGTCTGTGTGTCTGAGTGTGAGTCTGCGTGTCCATGACTGTGTGAGTCTGCGTGTCTGACTGTGTGAGTCTGTGTGTCTGACTGTGTGAGTCTGTGTGTCTGTGCAAGTCTGCGTGTTCGTGAACTGTGTGAGTCTGTATGTCTGTGTGAGTCTGTGTGTCTGACTGTGTGAGTCTGCATGTCCGTCTGTGAGTCTGCGTGTCCGTGACTGTGTGAGTCTGCGTGTCCGACTGTGAGTCTCGTGTCTGACTGTGTGTTGTCGGGCCGTGGCCCTCCCGCTCACGGCTGTCTCTCGCAGGCGCTGGGCAGCAGCGTGTACAAGAGCACCTCGCCCTACGGCTCCCTCCACAACATCGCCGACGGCCTCAGCTCCCTCACTGAGCACTTCTCGGACCTGACGCTCACCGCCGAGAGCCGCAAGCCCAGCAAGAGGCCCCCGCCCAACTACCTGTGCCACCTGTGCTTCAGCAAGGGCCACTACATCAAGGACTGCCCGCAGGTGAGGCCCCGACCTCGGTCTGTGCGTCTGTCCCCTCTGCTGTGCCTCCAGACTCCAGAGCTCCAGGCCCCCATTCTTGTGCGGGACGGGGGCCAGCACCCCCTCGCAGCTCTCCGGAGAGCAGGCTCCTTACACGCACAGGAAGGAATGCGGGCCCCGGGCCAGGAATCCACATGTGCGCCCTCCCGGCCGCGCCGGGTCCTCGCCCTGCTGCCTTGGGGGGAGCATCCTGCCTGCCGGGGCCCTGGGCCGTGAAGGGGAGGCCTGAGGCCTGGCTCTCTCCAGAGGATGGAGGCCGCCCCGTCTCCCACCCGGTGCTTGCTGGGACAGGGCAGCCTTGGCCAGGGACGGGTCCCACAGACATGATGGTCATGACTCAGCTGGACGCGGCCCGGGAACCCTGGGCAGGGGAGGGTCATGGGCTTTGGGGACCTGGCATCAGGCAATCAGTGATTTTTTTTTAATCTCTGCTTATTATTATTTTTTTGAGGGTCACACTCAGCAGTGCTCAGGGCTCTGCACTCAGGAATCCCTCCTGGTGATGCTGGGGGATCTCTATGGGGTGCTGGGGATTGAACCCAGGTCAGCTATGTGCGAGGCCGGGACCCTCCCGGCTGTGCTCTCGCTCCGCCCGCACTTTCCTTCCTGAACATTCCCACTGTTTCTCCAGGCAGCCCTCTGTTGGCTACGTGTCATGGATATGGGATCCCGACACTGGTGAGCCCACATCCCCCACCCCGGCACGGGGGGGTGGGGCCGGTCCTCCCAGGATGGGAAGACCGGGAGGCACCAGGTGCCCAATGTGGACGTGGCAAGGCCACGCGGTAACGCTGTAGGTGCCTGCCTCTTGGGGTCTGTCAGGGGCACAGTCAGAAGTGCCCAATGGGCCCCTGGGAGCCTGTGGGAAATGCAGAGTCTCAGGCATCCCCCAGACCTGCCTTTCAGTGAAACGCTTCCCATGACGCATGGACACCAGTGGACAGGCCCACACAGACAGGGACTGGTGACAGCTGGTATCCTGGCATGGTTCGCACTGTGCACAAAGTCAGAGCCCCTGGCATGAGCCTCCCACCCCTCGGGGTTCTGTGGGCCAGATGGGAGGCGCCTTGGCTCCCTGGATCTGTTTGGCTCTTCCCCGGCTCTGTCCACCCCATGCTTTCCCCACCTGACCCCCAGCCAAAGGGGCTCCGTCCTCTTCCCCACAGAACCTCTGAGGGGGCAGGGCAGCGCCAGCCCTGCCCCGTGGAAGGAGACAGGTACTGCCCAGGCACTCTCTGGCCTGGTTTCCTTCCACTTGAAGAGCTTGGGACCCCATCGGTGTCATTTTAGGTAACACCTTGTGTGGCCAAGACTCGGCACCCAGGGGCTAGAGTGATGGGATCATGGGTAAGGTGCGCCCTGCAAGTGTTTACACCCAGTTTGATCCCCAGCCCTGCACCCGGACACCCAGGGCTAGGTTTCACCCTGAGCACAGAGCCAGGAATAGCCCTGGAGCACCCCTGGGTGTGACCTCCGAGCAAACAGCTGTAGACTTTACAGGGGATCATTTAACGGGCCCAGGAGGCCCTGGTGAGCAGGGCCAGTCCCACATACAGGGGGACACTGAGCTGGCCCTGCAGGGGCTTCCCGGGAAGGAGAGCCTGAGAGCGGTTGGAGGCCCATGGGGGAAGGGCGGCCGGGCCTGGAGGTGGGGGTGGGGGGTGACTGTGGCCGCCTGTGGCCCTGCCTGCATCCAGTCCCACACAGGGTGACCCACTCTTCCTTCCTGTGGGGCTCCTGCACCAGCGAGCGAGGGTCGGGCAGTGTGAGGCTGTGTTGTCCCAGATCCGCCCTGGCCTGTGCCGCCCCGTTTGCAAGGTGGGAGCCGAGAGACTGAGCTGCTTCAACTCTGTCAGACGGTGCTGATTGGCACGTGGCCTTAGGGGCTCGGGAAGGCTCGAGTCTGCCCCCGGCCCCATCTGGAGGCTTCAGGTGTCTGCACCAGCTGCTCATCGCCTGAGGGACAGGCCCCGGCTCTCAGTCTCTGTCCGCCCTCCCGTCTGGTCCCTGTCTCTGCCACCGCAGCACCCATGGCAAGTATTAAGAATGAGCAAGTTGGAGCTGGAGTGATAGCACAGCGGGTAGGGCGTTTGCCTTGCACGCAACCGAACCCAGGTTCAATTCCCAGCATCCCATATGGTCCCCCGAACATGGCCAGGAGTAATTCTTGAGTGCATGAGCCAGGAGTAACCCCTGAGCATCGCCAAATATGACCCACCCACAAAGAAAAAAAAAAAAGAAAGAGCAGGTTGATGAGCCTTTCTCAAAGCCATGGAAACGTCAGGTTCCAGTGAAATCCTCAGTGAGTGAGCGCTCAGCCACGATGTATGCGTGGAATGTGCGTCTCGGTAACGGCGCTCAGAACTGTGATTCCCACAACATGTGACTCACCCATTTGACGTGCACCTTGCGGAGCTTCCAGACTCTGGCCGGGCTGTCTAGCTGTCACCGCCGTTAATTATGAGGCATTCCTAGCATCTCAGAAAAACACCTTGTCTCCCGGACCCTCCTGCCTAGTAATCACTCATCTGCTTTCTCTCTCTGTAAGTTCATCCATTCTGGACACTTTAGACATGTGGAAGCCAATTCTTTTACTTCACGTATTATTTTCAGGGGTCATTCATGGAGTGGCATTTACTAGTTCTCTGGGTTTGGGAGATGTTCCATTCTGTTCCGTTCTGTTTTAGAGCTTTAAAGAATTGATGTTGCTTGTCTTTAAAGGTTTTGCAGTGTGTGAAGCTCTCTGAGCTTGCACTTTCTTTTGTGGGTAGAGTTTGGCCGGGGGATAGTGTGGGGCAGGGTTTGGCCAAACCGCGCGATGCTTAATCCTAGCTCTGCTCTCAGGAAACTTTTTCTAATTGCCTGGTGGGGACCATATGGGATGCCAGGATCAAACCTGGGTTGGCCACCCGCGAGGCAAGTGCCCTCCGAGCTGTTAACTCCAGCTCTTGACATTTCTTAATTCTTGTAGTTGGAATCTCTCCTCTCTCTAGCTCAAGTTTTGTCTGTTTTGTTGAACTTAAAAAAATTTTTTTAATCTGATTTCCTCTGTTTTTTTTCCATAAATTTCACTTTATTATTTCCTCCTTCCTGTCCCTCTGCTGTTGTTACAGTGAATATCCCTCCCCGTCCTTCCTTTTAGCTCGTGACTCTAATCTTTATTATTTTCTTCCTTGCTTTAGACTCAGTTCTTTTCTCCATTTCTTGAGGTGGGTTTTCTGTGATGGATTCCTCTTTATTCCGCTTCGTAATGTTTTGTAATGTTGGTACTTAAGTTGTACATTTCTCACTGAACTGTATCCTATTTGTTTTGAATTGTTACATCTTCATTTTTATTTATTGTAGGGTATAATCTGATTTCCTTTGGGATTTATTTTCTCCGCTCTATTTAGTTACTTAAGAATGTTCATAATATTCACATATTTGTGAGTTTCCCAAATATGTATTTTAATTATTATTTCTAATTTAATTCATATTTGTATTATTTCAGTGCATATGTGTCTTTGGTGGGAAGGTCAGAGGGAGTTGACCACAGCTGACAGTGTTCAGGGTTTGCTCCTGAATCTGTGCTCAGGGACCCAGTCTGCCCGTCTCTTTGAATCTAGTTTGTCTCCTCCAGACAGGGTATTGTTGGATCTTGGTTTGTTTTTAACCCAGACTGATATTTCTTGCCTTTTGTTGATATTGTTTAATCTATTCATTCGCCTTACTGATTATTATCAATCCTGTTTTGATGTAAGCTGTCGATAAAGTTGGAATGAAGTCTGTAGGCTTATTTTTCTTTTGTAAATTACTCATATATTCCAGGGGAGGGGCCGCTTGGTGCTTGGGAGGTGATTCTCAGGCGGGGAGGCACTTTGGCACATAGCCCCAGCCTCCAGAACGGTGTCCACCCTGACCACTGCCCTGTCTCCTGGTCCCTTGGGTCTGTGCTCCTCTCTGGTTGTTTCCTCTTAGATTAAGTAGTACTTTCTAATCAAACACTTTAAGTCCTTCAGGACTTCTTCACACACTATATATGTGAGTGTGTATTTTTTGTTGTTTTTTTGTTTGTTTGTTTGTTTGGGGATATTTCCAGTCTCAGACCTTCCCAAGGGACATGGGATAGAGCGATAGCACAGCGGGTAGGGCGTTCGCCTTACAAGCGGCCAACATGGCCGGCCCGAGTTCGATTCCTCCGCCCCTCTCGGAGAGCCCGGCAAGCTACCGAGAGTATCTCGCCCGCACGGCAGAGCCTGGCAAGCTCCCCGTGACGTATTCGATATGCCAGACACAGTAACAACAAAGTCTCCAATGGAGACGTTACTGGGCCCGCTCGAGCAAATCGACGATCAACGGGAGGGCCTTTACCTTTACCTTTACCTATTTCCAGTAGTGCTTAGGACTTACTCCTGGCTCTGTGCTCAGGGATCACCCCTGGCAGGGTTCAGGGATGGGGTGCCAGGAATTGAACCTGGGTTGGTCCCATGCAAGGCAAGCACCTACCTGCTGCTCCAGCCCTCACACTATAGCACTGTAGCACTGTCCTCCCGTTGTTCATCAATTTGCTCGAGCGGGCAACAGTAACGTCTCCATTGCGAGACTTGTCACGGTTTTTGGCATATTGAATACGCCATGGAGAGCTTCCCAGGCTCTGCCATGTGGACGGGATACTCTCGGGAGCTTGTCGGGCTCTTTGAGAGGGGCAGAGGAATCAAACTGGGGTCGGCCGCGTGCAAGGCAAACACCCTACCCTCTGTGCTATCGCTGCAGCCCCCTCACACTATATTTTATTTTATTTATTTTTAAATTATTTTAAATGTTATTTTCATAAAGTTGTCCACAATGGTTGTGTACATTCAATATTTCAACACACCGGTCCCACCTCCATTACGCCCTCCCACCACCATTATTTTGAATTTTCTCACCACCACTCAAACCTGCCCCACAGGCAAATGCTAGAACATTTATTTTGTATTGCT